ATATTAATTTATGGAATCAGTTGATGAATGGATTATCAGAATAGTTGGAGAGTCATTTAATAGTTGACAGCAAATCAATTAGTCGATTCATCTTTTGCAGCTTTAAACTCGACTGTAGCGAGCTGCACGCCATGTAACGGTTAACAGGGGTCCCCTCTCCGTTATCACAGCATCTACGTAACGCACCACTAATAGATCTCCCTTAGATCTCAAGAGCTCACACTCCAGACGGCACTTCCTCGGGTCGTCAGCAACACACCCGCCAAGTGAGAAGTCGATGGGATGAACGGTTGCAGAGAAAATCCAAGGACAGACAGACAGAGACGCCTTTCATTTCAGTCAGAGTTTAGTGTGTGTGTGAACACAGCCTCAGAGGAGGCCTTCCACTGATAACACAAGTGAGCTGACCTGCCTCCACACAGCAGTCTTTTTGCAGGTGAACCTCAGGTGTAACCGTGAAAAGACGTTTTATGCGCTCGCATGCCTGTTCTCCACTTGACCTCGTCGACGGCGCCAAACACTGGCAGATGTTTGCAAGTCGCTGTTTACCAAAGTGCAGCCGCGAGCTCATAGCCGCCCGCTCGCGAGCAATGTGGGTGTCGTGTGGGTCCTGCGAGGCCCGCCGGACATATCAAACCAACAGATCGCTTTTTCCCCGTGGAGGCTGTGAGGGCTTTCATTTCCCTGCTGCGCTCGTGATTTTTATCACGCAAATAAACAAGACAAGACACCGAGGCCTCCGCCGGAGCCCGGAGATCTGACTAAGGTTACTTTGTAAGTCGCATCTGTGTTGCTTATGCAACACGGAAAATAGAGAGAGCGAAGGCTCCGCGTCCTAAACACACAGAAGACCTGCACTGATGGAAGAGATAGAGAAGAGACAGGAAGACACCTGTGTGGAGCGTGGACCAAATGCCCTGCATTGTTACATAGAGCTGAAAAGAAATTCTAGATGCATGAGCTAACATAAAGCATATCGAGATTATAATGAGAGCTGAGATAAAACTTTACAGGCCATAACTGAATAAAAGATACAAACATACCTACCTGCATATATTCTATCAAAACTGACAACGAGTTCACTCCTGGATGAAGTTTATACGTCTCAACTTCAGCAAAACGTCGCAGAAATGTACCGTAGATGTCCTGTTAGAAACTCCGTCGGTCGGCACCAGCTGGCGTTGCATTTTAATTTGGCACCGACGACGGCATTAAATTATTTCCGACGGCTGATTCCTGAGAAAAGAGAGGAGGGAAAAAAAAGAAAACGAGGAAAGCGAGCCAGATGTAATGCTTTCTCACACACACACACACAGATTCATCTCCTTTCATCTTGTTCCTCCAGCACAGTGTTTGTGTTGCCAGAATGAAATAGGCTAGAGAGCACTCATTTGAAAAAATCCCATCGAGAGGAAGAGACGCTCGCGCCGTCCTTTGACTTCACACAGCGCTGTTTAAACAAAAATAAAACACACAAACATATCAGTGTGGGGAAATATAGACTCGTCTCATGCTTCCAGTCAGTGTTATCTTTTTTTTGGCAAATGAATACGCAATAAAAAAAGACTAGCATCAAATCTATTAAATGGGCCTCGCACCATTTTATACCGCGTGTACGACCCATTGGGAGGCTTTCTCTCATCAGGCCAAAGAGACATCATTTCATGTTGTGAATATAGGACGGCAAGATAAAGAATTAAATGCAGCAGACGTTCTCCTCTGCACTGTTGTACAGGACAAATCCCAGAAATATACTATCTCATCCACTCGGTTGATGTTTGCTCTCACCTTGATTTCCTGCCAAATGTCGTATCGACAAAGTGGGCTCGCCCACCGGGGGGGGAAGTGATTCCATCCCAGAGTTCACATGTTGGCGCTCCTCAAACAATAAGGTGCTTCTGATGAAAAGTACCGGTGTTATTCTCTGTCTCCGCAATGAGGAGCAGTCTCCGTCCAGCCCGGCTGCACATCATTCCCCATCCAGTGTAGATTTAGTGGATTATTATTCTCCAGTAGGAAGAAGTGCTGCTTTTGTATGAGGAATAGTAATCCACTCACACTGGACTGTTGCTGTCCAGGACCGTGGCTGCCGTTGAGTTCAGTGTTTTTTTAGATCTGGTATTAGTTCCCCAGACTCTCTATGCCGGGTTTTGAAACAGCACTTCGACCTTTCTTTTGGGAGATTAAATGGTCACACTTTATTTCATGCTTAAGTCCCTCGTTTCCTAATCATTTCCTTAAAACAAACTGTGATTTGGTCATAATTATAGGGAAAACCGAGACAAAGTTCTGACACTGTCTGTATTTTTAAGTCCTGCCAACAGCCAGTCCGGGTCTTTTCCTCCCGCTAGTGTTATGAGAATATTAGGATTTGGGTGCACAGAGATGAACAGCTGGTGGTAGTAATTCTCCAGTCGACCATTGCAGAGGAAGAGGAAGCAACAAGATGAGGAAGTCATGAGAGCTCCAGTCAAAGCTTAAACCATGTGGAAAGAGTGATTTCAATATTTGTTTCCGATACTAATGTAGTAGAAGGCTCAAGTCAGTTGCTTTGTTAACGTCAGCATTTATTTGCCAAGTCTCTCCATTTTTGGCACTTTGCTTTTATTAGGTCAAACAGAAAACTTGACTTATGCTCATAAAAGAGTGGATTGAAGGTCCCTCAGTGAGTGCTTCTGCACAAACGTGTATCTTGTCTCAAACTGTTTGCTCATTCAAAAAGTTGTCAGTTCAAGAGATGAGTAAAAACATTAGTGTGGTTGTGCCCCAGTCTGGTCCGTAAGGTCTTTTGGATGTGAGTCAAGAATAGTAATGCGTCTCTTCTACAACGGAGAGCTGCTGCTGCCTCGCAGGACTCTTTCGTTACATATCGAAAGATTTTACAGCCAATAAGGGACATTTTAGAAGCAGCCCCAACACAAGTCCAGGATACGTCTCTTATCGCCATCTGTCTGCAATCTCTGTCTCAGCCTTCCAGTAATCCATGTACGAACAGGCTGTTCACTGTAAAGAAAATAAATAAAGGAAACAGTGTTTGACAGTCCTGATCCGAGAGACGTTACGTCTCAGTGATTTTTACATGAAACTTGTCAGATTACATCTTGTTTGTGTTCCGTGCAATGACGGCAGCTGATGAACAGCACACATTCATTATGGGCCAGCAGAAAACGGATGTGGTACTTTTAAAAACAACCATGATGTCGCCAAACAAGAACATCGGACCAATCTGAAAAAAATCTCCAGATCACGTTTAACGAGACTGCCTGTGTCCAACTGACGGGCGAATTCACAAAGAATGGATGGCGGCCGCTGACAGCGCCATGAATTGCGCACATCACTTGCGACCGCTATCTCCCCCGTCTCAAGGTCCGATATCACGATATGTACACAGGGGACACGCGCCTGTAAAGTGTTGCAGCCAAGTGCAATTTGCCCTTTTCTTTTGGCGTCCGATTGCAATTTTTCAGATGGCAAAGTATAGTTGTTACTATACCAATTCCAGGCGTGCAGGCGATGCATTCGTCAAAATTTCAGGCGAGGAATTTAAACGTGAACGAGAGAAACCCTATTTGGGATTTAATCTGCCGCGACCACTGGAATGTCAGGACATGACACTCATAAATATGCTTCAGTTACCGCCAAACTCTCTGAAGATGCTAGTTATTTCATAGTCACCGCGTGAAGCTGTAAGCACTGATCTTTGTGAAGTGGACTGTTTTTGCAATGAGGATCATTTGCATTGATTGGGCCCAATTTGGTGCCACATGTGTGCGTACTATCTCATTTAGATATGTGCGAATAGCGCAGGAGCACCGAGACGCAGTTAGCGGTGCATTCCCACCCTAGCGGGGGATTTCAGAATCAAGCTAATTCTAATTTGTGCAGCGTTAGCGTGCGCAAAAGTCCACTCAGTCCTTGAATCGTGATATCGGGCCTCCGAAATTCCAACAATGGAACATAATAAGTAGCCTACATTGTATTTACTTCCTGGTAACAGTCGCACAGTGCAGAGCGTATCATTTTGTAGATGATAGATGCCAAAATGAACGTCGCACAGCTGTCAGCGATGATGCATACTGATGATGAAATCTCAATTTACTGATCATATAGCGTTCAATGCCAATAAAATGTTAATTCCTCCATTCTACGTTTTCTGCACATGGCAGTACGGCGTGTTTAAAGCAGCGCCAGTCAATGTGTTTGTATTGTGTAATGTGAATGGTGTCCCACAGAGAATTATCACCTGACTCGGCAGTTTGCCCCAGCTGAGTAGAGCGTTTTAGCAGCAGCTTTGCTCAGCACCAAACAGGCAGACAGATAAAATGAGCAGCCAGAGAGCCGGAGCTCAACACAGTGTCAACATGTGACATGATATTTACAGTATATACATCAGGTATCACCTTTTATGGTCATACGGTGTCAGTTTAGTGTTTGCAGCTCGTTACGCTAACCCTAAGCGTCAAAAAGAATCAATTAATGACTGTGATCAGTTCTTAAAGTGGCAGATGTTTCTCTTACAGCCTCGTCTTCAGCTCTCCTGTTGTTTTTCATTTCCCTGTCTGCAGTAATATAATGCCAATTTTAGTTTGGATGTGCATCAATAACGTCCCCCTGGTTATTTTGAAGCGGCGCGCATGAGAGAAATTGAAATGGTCCTGCTTTGAGAGACAGCTGAACGTAATGAACAATAACTCTCTTAATGGGATTTGTACATCTGATTACACTTCGTGTTTTATTGTGATGCTGATTTACCAGCCGGCGATGAAATCACAGACGGACAAGATCTCGCTATTCTCTGTAGCTATTTGCATTGTTTAGTAAAATCAGCGACGAGCTTTCTCATGTGATTAGAAAAGATTTTCTGCTGTGATTTCACGGGGGAGGGTCTGCATAGGGAAGACCCAAAAACACACACACACACATATATATATATATATTTATATATACATACATACACAGGGAGATAAACTCGACTCTTTGCCAATATTGTTTCAACGGTGATGCTAATAGAGCAAAGTGAGGTGAGAATGTAATTGAAATTGAAAGAGAGAGACAAAGAGAAGAGATGAGTAATGATAGACGAAGAAAACACGGCAGAGAGAGAGACTGCCTTCATACAGTATCTGTCACTGTGTGTGTGTGTGTGTGTGTGTGCGCGAGTGCTGCCTCGGGAACAGTTGATGGATTTGCTGCTTGACTGCTCACACAGATTGGTGCCTGCTGTGATGGCAGCCTTGAACTGAAATTACATGCACACACACACACACACACACACACACGCAAAAAGAGAACTACACGTAATTGCAATTTCTGCGTGTGCGCGCGCAAGCTGCATTTGTGTGTGTGTGTGTGTTCTTAAGTTGGGACGAGCGGGTGTGTTGCCTCTAGGAGGCCATTTCAAAGCACCGTGGAAGGATGGATGAACACGAGGCTGACCGAAGCACCGGAGAGGATTGAGGGAGACAATTGAACAGGTCCAAAAAAACGCTGTGTTTATGCGTTTAATAATAGCCGATTATTATATTTTGTGTCATTTTCATTGAATCAGTGACAGGGTGACTGGCTTCCCCAATAATTATCTTTTTTCTTCTTTTTTTTTAATCGGTTAAATGAGATACATCACAACCGAACAGACTGACAGTGAGAATTCCTCTTTACTTTAGAGTTTGATGATTCGTCTGCTAATCGAGGCAGTTGGAGTAGATTAGAAATGATCTTGATGTCGTGTTCTGAAAAAAGTGGAGAGAATCCCCCCCCCCCCCAACAATGTTATCCAAAATACAAATACTAGCAGTAGCTGGAACTAACTAATCGATTAGTATTTGAAATTTAGGCAGGGAATCAATTATTTCATATAAAAGTGAGTGAGAGTGAGATTTATAAAAGTATACTTATTTCTAAAGAGAAGTGATTGTCTTAATGTTGGTAATCTTGTGGGGATGTTGCATGGTGATATCTATTAGCTGAAATATTTACTTCAGTATTCCGAAGGTTTTCACGGAGAGGTCTGTTCATATATCATTCATAACCTGATTAATATAACATTTTATTTTATTCATAAATGTCAAAAATGTTCATTTTCTTATAACTGTTGAGATATCCAACACTTTGAACCTGGCTAGTGAATTTGATGATCCTGAAAGAGGAAGTAAAGCATCATCTGCATAAGGCTGAATCTTGTGTTCTGACTCTTTTTCCTTCTCAGTTCCTCCAGAGAGAGCTGGCAGCTGGTTCATTTCAAAATATCAAATAGCGAGGGAGTGTGCCTCGCTCTCTGGTCGCCCCGTTAATGTGAATCTTCATGTAACCCTGTCAGAAGTGACAGTGACCGTGAACGTGCTTCCTCGCCCTCTTGTGACAGTATGACATTCGTTGTTTTGTTGGTGTGACATCATTCAATTCCAGAGTCCTCTCACGTTATATGGATCCCGTGATGGTTTTGTCACAGGTTGATCTCGAAACATATCCTTTGATTTTCAAACAAGCACATAACTAACAGAAATGTCTTCCTTCCTTCCTTCCTTCCTTCCTTCCTTCCTTCCTTCCTTCCTTCCCTAGTGGAGCATCAGGGAGCAGCAGTGAATCAGAGAGCAGCTCAGAGTCGGACACAGACGAATCAGAGAGCAGCTCCAGTGACAGCGAGTATAACCAGACGTCCCGCACACACACACCAGAGGTAGGATGCCAAGTGAACCTCCAGTTACATGGAAAGACAGGGTGGAAAACACGAGTTATTCAATTAAACCTACTAAGCTAATTAGTAGCTAATTATCATGATTTCTGTGTGTGTGTGTGTGGGTGTTAAAAAACACCTGTATAGCATTTTTATTCTTCCCGACTCACCACTAATAGCGTCGCAGTGTGTCTGACTATACATTAAACGGTCTCTTCACACAGTCTCTGGGTGGTCTTCTGAAAGTCATAAAACTCCCAACTGCAGAGAGCTGAATTGTAATATTATTTATCACTTTATTTTTAATGGCTCGACGCTGCCGGGTTTCAGGAGCCTCTGCACTCAAACCCACTGAGAGAGAGAGAGAGAGAGAGAGAGAGAGAGAGAGAGAGAGAGAGAGACATGCAGATGAAGCTAACTCATGAAGTAGCATGTAACACATATGCAGCATTATGGTAAAACAATTCACAACTCTGATCTTGAATGAATAGAGCTACTTTCAGATCTCACTAAAATCAGTTCTCTTTTCTGTCTGGAAAATAACACTTTAATGATTTATTATTTTAAAGACAAAATCATATCTGTAATTTCCGTTAAGTTTATTCTTACTTGTGAAATCTTTCTGTTTTCTCCCCCTGTAGCCTGAGCCCCCCTCTGCCAACAAGTGGCAGCTGGACAGCTGGTTGAATAAGGTCCAAGCTCAAACCAAACCCCAGGTTCCCCCTCAGCCAGAACATGGCACAGGTTGGTATGGACAGTAACGTCTACTGTGTGAAACAGCAGCTATGGTTTACAGTAGAACAAATAATAATAATAATCTGGTTTGATCTGGAATACTTAAACTGGTTCAATGGTGCCCTGCCCAGGCTCCATCCCCCAGGGTCCGGGGACTTTCTCTCCCAGGAGTGAAGCACCAGGAGTGGGAACGGCCGCAAAGACAAAGCCCTGCGTGTCCAGCAGCACCCCGGTTCCAGCTGCCCAAACGGTGGAACACAAGGATACGAGGGGAGCGTTCTGGTAGGAGGGGATTTTTAAAACATCTGTTGAAAGAACGAATGAATGAATTACACACTAACGGAGGGATGAACAAACTGACAAAAATGTCTCTCTAACCGTAAAAGACAAACCAATTCTTGCCTCCCGCAGCCCGGGCAGAGAGAAGGCCAAGGCTAAGCTCAGCCAGAAGGCCTCAGGGGAGGGCCAGAGGTCAAAGATGAGGATGTCACCGGGCCTGTTGTCAGGGCCGGAGGTCGCGACCCAGAGGAGGATCACCACGGGGAAGAAGCAGCCCAGACGGACAGAGAGGTCGAACAGTGTGGAGGATGGTCAGAGCCAGACGTGGAGCAGAACAAACCAGCACAGGTGAGGAAGAGCACTGCGCTCATACGGCGGCCATTGCAGATAATAACACCGCCTCGACCCGAGCCGTCACCACGTTGAGAGGCAATAGAAATGCTCCCAATCTCGTATTCAGCACCTTTAAGGCAACACTGTCGCTTAGCATGGAGAGCTCACAGGGGCTCGAGGGGATCACTGAGCTTCCTTGCAGCCAGCCACTGAACACTGTCATCCTCACATCTGTTGGGAAAAATGCTCAGATTGAGTAGATGCCGTGCCCAACTGGCTGCTCCGCTTGATGTGAGGCTAATTGGAAGAAAAACACAGACTTCCCAGCTTCGTTCCTTTCTTCTTTTCTCCCTCCACCACTTCTTCGCTTCCCCTTTTTCCGTTTTTAGGCGTTCCACATCCAAACAACTTTGGCTGGGCGCATGCTGTTTTCAATTATTTCATGCTGTCTGATATATTTATTTCATTTGAACACACATTCCCCCCCTGCAGCTGGCTACGGCGAGCATCATCGTCTACTGTTTGTCAGCGTAATACTGCACGACGGTAGCAGTGCCTTGCTCAAGGGTGACTCTTAATAGGGTTTGCTTTCTCCTGTTTGTTTTTTTCCCCCCCTGCAGCCCTGCGTCTAGGGAGAAGGACCTGTTGCCTCCCCCCTCCCTAGAGCTTCAGAACCCCCCGAGGCCACGAAGCAAACCCCCCAGTGGGAAAACAGCCCCCAGGAAAGAACCTCGCAGTGCTACCAACTCAAACAGCAGCTCAGTTACTCCACCAGCAGCGCTACAGCAAACCCCCGCGCCAATACCTGCTGTCAGTGTAAACCAGGTTTGTTTCTGAGTGGCGGGAGACACATGTGAGTGTGAGTTTATGGGGCACGTAGACATTTTCTCCATATTTCTTCTCAGTGATGGTATTAATTGTTGCTCGTAATAATACTAATCCCTCAAAGTTAATCCAGTAATTATTTATGACTGGCAGAAAGCTAATCCAACAATCCCCTTTTCAGTCAAATGACTTTCCCAAGGAAAGAAGAACAAGACACAAGCACCTTGGGATGTTTACCCTCCACTTCTCAACTTCTTGGAATATGTAAAGAAACGCACATATAACTCTGTCCGCGTGTCTTGTAATGGTCACTTCATCCTTATTGTCTCTGGACAATTTGTCCGAGCCATAAAATTCTACAGGATAAAAATGGTATTATCACATGACCATTATGGCTCAACGCTGACTGGTTTTATCGAAATATGGAAAGCGAGAGAGGGAGTCAAAGAGATGGAGCTAAATCGTTGGCCATCGTCTCCGCCGATAATGAGTGAACACTGTGTGGTTTTATGAAGATTGGGTAGTTTCAAGGAGAACGAATGGAAGAGAAAGAAACAGAAGAAAACCACTTATAGTAAACTGGCTTTATGTAACAAAGGCACAGATAGAGCCGGACAAGAATGAAGATTATGTAACAATTAGAGCAGGAAAATGGCCACAGAAGATGGAAATATCCCTCATCTTCACTTTACTTTTACTGAAAAAGAAATGTGGAGTTTTTATGCCTCCGATGGCGACAGCCGCAGCCGGAGGTATCGCGTTGTTGGGTTGCCTGTCAGTCCTTCGGTCCCGTTCTCGTGAACGGGTTTATCTTGGACTCATGGATGAACTGAACTGGTTGCCAAAGGTCACTGTGACCTAACTCAAGTAATACATAACACAAATGTCACGGTATGACATTTTGGAGGGACACGGATGTAAACTGAAACTTGTCTGGTTGGTGGAGGCTGTAATTCTAAATGTAATGATATCAAATCAGAACCAAACCGTCAACATCTCAAACTGTCGTTGTCATTAATAAAATGCTCCAGGTGATATTGTTAGCAGTGTGTAAATGGCGGTTGACAGAGATGAACATTCGCAGTCAACTTTAGAAGAACAGAAGAAGTGAGCCAGCTCTCGACAGTCTCTGGAGTTGATTTTAGGATGTGCCATATTTTGATCTTTCGTGACCTTTATGCCAGCGGAGTCTCACATCGTGTCGTTTGTTTGCTTTGAAAGACAAATTTACTCTGAGACAAATTGTCAGACGGCCGTCCGTAATACTGAAACAATGGAAACCTCGTATCCACAGAAGCGACTAACAAACGGAGGCTCATGTAACAGGCTGAGGAAGTGACCAGAGAGTGACATGTCTGACCCTGACGTCTGCCGACCCGTCAGCAGCAGGCTGAGGTTCAGTCGGCCTGACAACCATTCACAGCTCCAAACTCATCCTCTCACTGCACACAATCCATTCAACGTCCACTTATCAGCTAGTTGTGTTTGTTTTTTCTTTCTTTTTATGGAATAATTGGTTTCAAGACAACAAAATTAAGAACACAATAATAATTCCACTTATCCCACTGCAAAGCTTTACCTCCACTACTGAGGTATATTATTATAGAATAAGAAATTACACTAAATCCTCTGAACCCCAAGCAGTTTCGGGGCGTTTTGTTTTTTACTGCAATATTTAGGTCCTGCACCACCATGGAACCAGCACCACCATGGCTAGAAGTAGAGAGTCAAACATGTCTTCAGTGCAGTGTAATACAGTTATAATGCCATAAATGATATAAAAACACAAGTTGAATTTCTTTGATAAGTTATTTTTTTTAAATAGAAAACAATATCTAACATTTTTCCAAGTTACCAATGTTGGAAAAAGAAAAGATCTGAGGCTCCACACGAGTCAGTGATGGCTCCCCGGTTGCACCGAGGAGCGCAGAATTTAACGTTTATTTTGGGCGATAATTTAAATGAAACATGTAGAATGAAGTGTTTTTGGTGAAATATCCAAATTTTAAGCTTTGGTTCGGTTCCTCTCTCTGACGGAAGCATTCGTCATGCATGACGTGTTCAAGGACAGTTGGAAAGCTGAATATTCGATGACAATGCAGTTTTTTACAGCTTTTGGCTACGATAGAGATTGTATAAAGAATTAAAATCTTTGCGTTCAGAGGGTCAACGGCTGTCAATCTACATCATTCTGTCATAGTTGATTCTACATCATTTACATAGAGAGAGGTGCATGCCAACAGATGTCGATGACATTATAGTAAGTAGTCTACACTTGTACTGTATTATCTGCTTAACCAAAGCCTGGTGCATCTTACCCCTCTGTGCAATAGAACGCCATTGTTTTAAACAAGAGGCCACAAGCATGGGCACCGTAGTTCATTTTAAAATATACTCTGCTATTCAATAAAGCACCAAATATGTATTAATCCGCAGCCGAAAATAGTCCCCAACAAATCCACTATTTCCTCCTGTTTGAGTAATCTTTGCTGAACTCTACAATGCTCAGCTGTTTCAGGCAATTAGGAAATTGTGGTGTGTTTGTTCCAATGTACATCCTCAGTAGGAAGGATGGAGGATGGACTAACACTGTTGGTTTGGTATTTCAATAGGGTTTGATTTGATTACCTCCAGATTTGTCCTTCAAAGCAGAGCGTCCCAAACTTTGGAGGCCTGAGGCGCCTTACAAATTCAGCAAAACCCCTTATTATTGTTGTCATGATATTATTATGATATAAATCGTCCTTTAAATTGGGAGGAAGGGAGAGAGAGACACACAGCAGAGAGAAAGAGAGCAAGTCTGTTACAGCTAAAGATGATAAGATACAGATAAGTTACAAATACTTTGTACCCAAATAACATTACATACTGTCTGAAAATACACAACATCCAAAAATCCACCACTATATTGCATCAGAATCCACAACTCTGTGTTGAACCACAATGTTTGAGTGACATTTGGACAGCTACATTTATATTGACATCGTGAACTTAGTCCGTTGGTGGTGTGATGCAACAGGCTCACCGTCGGGGCTTCATGAGGAAGGGGATGCTGCTGCAGTGACGCTGTCGGGGCTTTGAAGTCTGGCTGAATAGACTCAGCACCCAACGCGTTCCTGTGCTCGGTCTTTAAGGCCACAAGCTTCACAGAGACACGCTGTGGCAAACGCTATCAGACACGCGTCGCCTTCGATGCAGAGCTCTGGGTATTCTTCAGCCACATGCAACCAACCAGTCAAAGGGCCTTCTGTAGAAATGGGTTTCAAAGAGCTATCACAGGATAGATCGTCAGGGTCGTTCTGCTGCTTGGAGGCGAGACCCTCAATTACATCCTCGGGATGGTTGGCAAAAGAGATTCTGTATCCAGCTGTGCTGGTTGCTGAGGCCAGGGGAGAAGTCCTCTTTAAAGGCTGGAGGTGTGCTGTCACAGCAGCAAACGGAGGCGGAGAGAACAATAGAAAGAGTATTGATATTCCTGATATAACTGTGTCACTCCAATGGCTGCAATTCTACACTTTGAGTGTTTGCGGTGCTTAAAGGTCACTGACATCACTCGGCAATGTGTTGCAGCTTTTAGAAAAGGCATCTTTCTCTCGGGACGGGACTCGTACACCTGAAAGCCGTAGGACTGTTGGAAATGCAGCAATCAGGGCTAAACACCGTCAGTGAGGAGAAACCTTCAGCGGACACCTACCTGTGATAAAGTTATTTCTTTTTTTAAATCTGCGGTTACACGCAGGAAAATAATTCAAAATGAGAGACGCAAAAACGCATCCGCATGTGTCACCAGACTGCCTGTGCTCAGTCGTGTGACTGGTACAAAATTAGACAGTCAGACATGTTTCATTTCACTTCTCAGATTAGTAGAACAAGCGTGTGCTGCCGTATCTGCATGATATGATCACATGCAGTCATATATATATTTTTAGCGTGACTGATTCTTTGAAACGCTTTGGCTGATATCATATCAGCAAGATTTATTTTCATTGCGATAGCAAAAGGTTAAGAAAACAAAAGCCAGTTCTGTTAATCACGGTGGAGGGTGTAGAGTGATTCAAAGTTTGTGTTTTTGTGTGCACTCTCCTGATCAGCAGCCACAGTGATTCTCATAGGTCACTGCATATGAATATGAATCATTAGCCGTGTAATTAAGTCATCCCAGAGCTCACTCCCTTTTTGTCAATTTCTGCCTTTTCAAATAGGACAAGAAGAAACACAGAGGTCCGAGCACCAAGATAACACCCAAGTCCCGTGAATTCATCGAGACGGACTCGTCCTCCTCGTCCTCCGAATGCCACTCGGATTCGGAGGAAGCCCTCAAGATCCCCGCGCTGCCGCCTCAGACGACTCGCTCGGCCATCAACACGCAGACCCTGTCCAACACGCACGCGCCTCCTCTACCCCCGTGCCTCGGGTCCGCGGGGAGCCTGGGGGCATTTGGAGGGAAGGGCCTCCGAGTCAAAGACGGTGGCAGTGTGACCACTAACGGTAGCAGCAGCAGCAGTAACGGTAGCATCAGCGGTGGTGCCAACGGCAGCAGTAACGCCCTAAGCATTAGCAACATAACTGGTTCATTTGGCACTTCTGTTCCTGACCCCGGAGGGTTAGGAGGTCAGCGCAAAGACCCAGTGTCCATGTCGCCGCCTCCCAACGTGGGACACGAGGTGCCGCCGTCCCCCTTGAGGGAATACCAAGAGATCCAGAGTTTATGGGTGAAAATCGAGCTGAGTTTGCTCAGCAGGGTGCCTGGCCAGGGTTTGGGGGAAAGATCCAGAGCGGGACTGGCCGAAAGGGATGGGAGCGAGGGGAGGGACAGGGAGAGACAGGGGGAGAGGATAGGGGCGCCCGAGAGGGAGAGACAGAAGCAGGCCGAGAGAGAGTGGCCGGGGCTGAGGGAGAAGCAGAAGCCACCTAAAGGGGAGAAGCAGGAGGAAGAAAACGAGCGGCTGGGGCAGGACAGAGAGAGGCAAGGTGACAGAGACAGATTAACGGAGAGAGAGAGGCAGACGGACAGAGAGGACAGAGACCGATCGGTGCTCGGGGAGAGGGATCGGACGGCGGGGAGGGACAGAGAGAAGGCGTGCCAAGGTCCGGGGGTCCAGGACAACCCCCCTGTGCAAGAGCAGAGTAATCCCAGGCTGGCAGGGAGGACGGAGAGCAAACACAGGAGGCAGGCCGCTGGAAACATGGCGGTCCCAGCAGAGAAACACACCAACAAGAGCAAGAGGAAACACAAGGTGTTGTGGCGTCGGATTCTCCTGTTTAAGTCCCATTTTTTTCATATATATTTTACTACACAATCTGTGTCCTTTCTCTCTCAAATGTAACTGCTGTACTTAAATACTGTGTGTTTTCTGTCCTCTGCGTTTCAGTCGGACCACACTGAGTCGTCAGTCAACGGCAATAAGAAGCTGCGATTGGACAAAGACTGTCAGCTCCTCCCGCCCTGCATCTCTCCAATACACAACCACAAGAACAGCTCAGCAGAGTGAGTACCGTACTTTACCCAAGAAAGTACTCACACAGGGACCCACTACTAGTGTCTTTCCAAACCATGTCAGTTAAAGCTGGAGTGTGGTATATTTATGTCCCCCTACTGGCAGTGGGAGTAATTACACAAAACCCTGTCGACGCAGCTTATAACATATGCTCCAGATGTTTGTCCTTGCTGTCTTATAGCTGTCTTTTTTTTTTTTTTTTTACTTAAATCCTCTGAACGCTACGTTTCTTTTTTTACCTGAAGCATCCGCTCCAGACACTTTTTCTTGGACGCTTCTCAGGATTTTACTGCCGTATCTTTTGAACTTTTCCGAGCTGATACTCCGTCCATATGGTCTCACCCCCACCTTCCTTCCTGCCCCGTTTAGCTCTGGCTGGTTGACATAAAATGCAGGGCGCCACAGACACCACAACTCCGGTATTGTGGGAAATACAGAGAGCCTTTAATGACGGCGATAGGATTAATCAGCATTGTGTGAACTCGTTTGGCAAGGGCTTGATTGTAACAGACATTTATTTCTTAAAGTCCTGCGCTCCAGCTTTAACAGGGAGGACAGGTAATCACGTTCATGGTGAATCAAGATTTAAATTACCTTACTTTCCAATAAACATGTCCACATGACATAACACAATGTGAGAAAAAATACTCAGCATTGCCTTTCCCCATTCTTCCCCTGAACGCCACATTCTCATGTTCCTGGGATTGACGCTAGTGGAGGTAATCAGACAAGCTTACTGAGTATTTTGAGGCAGGCTTAACATTTTCAATGTGGTGTTGAAGTCACCGCAGAGGTGAGTTCAATCCACACTGTGACACCAGAGTGACAAAGTGAATTCCGTGTGAATTATTAAAAACAGACTAAGCCGGCTGTCGCTATAAATAAGCCTCGACGTGACAGCCACAGAGGAAATATTTTTATAGCATCACGGCGTCATCAAGGGACGCGCAGAAGGGAGAGAGGGGCGACCTGGACTTGAACCTGTGACATTGTACGGCAGACATCCCAGAGTGTCTGTTCATCATCCAAGAGGCTTTTTATGGAAGCTGTAAACTGGATGATGTGATCATCCTGCTCAGACCCATTCAGCCATTTCTAAACGGTGGCTTTTGACAGTTATTATCACCCCGTTTTAATCAGACAGGTCGTATTTTGACAACAGATAATAAGAAAAGACTTATGTTAAGGGCCAACTTTTTGACCCCAGAAAGGCTTGTGTTTGTTTTGGAGCGTTTGAGCACATTCAAATTCAGCAAAGACCATAAATAGTCTTCTGAATCTAATCTGAAGTCATCTCTTTTTGTAGTAAAAACATAATGTCAATGTGTCTTTTACATGTATTATTAATAGTTTTTTTATCACTGATAGGAAGGGAAGAAATTATTTTGAGAAAATATCAGAAATACTCCTTTTCCTCTCAGCCAACTAGAGAGGCGTGTCCATGTTTGTTTTCATTGATTGACAGCAGCAGCAGGCTAACGTGATACAAAGGAAACAAACTTACTGTAGCTTGCCATGTAGCAAGCACATAGCTAGCACACCGTGGCCAGGCAGTGTGTTGTTAGTGATATTGAGGATTTCAGACCACACCAGTGTCCAAACAAAGCAAAGTTACATTTTCAGTTTATATGCTGGTTAATGTGCTGCAGCTGAACAGTTAGCCTGAATTAGCTGATGCTACCTAGCCTGCGAACTGACGTTAGCCGTGCACCTTTCCCAGCTGAAAGCTTGTTCTGTCATCGTTAGACAGGTTGCAGGACGAGATGTGTGGTCGTGTTTGTAAGTTAGATGAGAAGGAGACTTTAGCAGGAAAGCTAACGTATGTTGTTGTTCAAAGTCTGTGGACCAATCCCAACCTCCCCCCTAAGGCCTTAAACCCTGAACCCTCAGGGACGTCAGCTGCTAAAGGGTTGGGTGTGAGAGTCTGCAGGGGCTTGGTGTAAATACGAAGGGGACAGCACTTATCTGCGACATAACATGTTACGTATAATAGTGGGTATTTATTATATATAGTTTACTCCCTGATTTAAAAGTCTTCCAGGCTCTTGCCTTACGAGACAAGATGTAATTTCAAATAATCTATTTACCTGTTTTTGTCAAAACAGCTTCAATAACAACGTGAAAAGAAATAGTTGATGAATAAATCAGCTGTGAGATAGTCTCTGCTCGCATTCCTCTGATTTCATGTGTTTTTAAAGTATCATCCTAAATCCTTAATGTTTCTGTGTTCATTTAATATTCAAGGCACCCATGTGCCGTCCTCTTTGTTTACCTTTTTTTTTTATGCCTTCGGGCTTCCCCTGGTAAAACCGTGTTAAACTTCACAACGCTAGGAATTATGGGTAATTCCCTCGGGCAGAGTCTGCAGAAATGCAGACTTAAGGAAAATGTTCATAATGGGCTCAAAATGTCAGCGAGAGCCCCTATGTATGTATATGTGTATACTGTATGTATGTATATATACGTATATGTATGTATGCATATGTGTGTGCAGGAAAGCATAAGAAAGCTCTCATAGCGCTTTTATATATATGTATATATATATATATACGTATATATATATGTGTATGTATATGGATATATACATATATATGTGTAAATGTATATATATATATATATGTATATATACAGTATATACTGTATATGTGTATGTATGTATAAATATTCTGAGTTACATATAAATGAGCTATGAGAGCTTTCTTATGCTTTCCTGCACACACACCGGCATCCACTTAAGGATAGACACACAAATGCACACAAATTAGCATAGTCGTGCACACATCAATTATGCTGTACACAGACACAAAAGCACACACATAACTCACACATTCACACACACGCACTGCAGCAGCTAATTAGTCTTTGTCTCCCTGGTTTTGTATATAATCACTAATGTCGGGGCCCGGGGCGATGTTCTGCAAGCTCAGCAACTTTTCCCGCCGCATCAAACCCCCAGAGTTTCCAGGCGGAGGAAAAACATAAAAATATGATCTGTTGTGCTGCAAACAATATGAGTCACAAGAGCAACAATAAGGCGGCTGAGGGAATAGCCGTCGATGCTCGAGCAGGGAGGGCAGAATCACAACAACTTTAGAAGGAAAACATCATTCAGCGACTGCAGATGAAGTCTCAACAAGATGGTTAACTCAGAAGTAGGGCTTTACACGCTGGATGTTTGTGTCTGTTGATGAAATAATGTGATGGCAAAGATAGAGGAAGTCAAATCAAGCCAGTCCATTGATTGGCGTAGCCCCAAATGCTGCCTCGTGTATCAGTGTTTCATTACGCCATCATCGACCAAACAGGTTCGACCCGGTCAAGTGAGAGCGTCGCTCAAGATAAAGAATACCAAACAAGTGATGATCAGCATTCTTTCTGAATCTCTGACATCTAAATTCAGTTAAAAAACAACAACACGGGAGTGTTTTGGCCACTGATACATAGGTTTTTAGCTTTTTCATCGCACTACTTGTGCTAAATACAAAATACATCTAAAGAGGGATTGTATGTTATCAAAATATCCACTTATGTATATGTGGATGTCATTTTTTCTACAGAATTAGTTTTTCGTGCAGTGTTCCAAGACTGACGGCAGATTCAAATCTGATTGCAGCAGAATCCCCAAAGCACATATATTTATATTTCCATTCATAATGTAATAACAATAAGAAAAATAAATGTTTGTTTTTATCTTATGTTCGTGGGTTTGTGGTACATTTATCTGTCTCCGCTGTGCTATGATGTGGTTTTTTTTATATATTGTCTGACAATGTTTTATGAGTCATGATTCATCATTTGTCAGTTATAGTTTGTTGTCATGATTATTTCCCCCTATTGTCGAGATGAATTGTGACCCGTTGTTATGGGAATGTGTTTTAACTGAACTACATATGACCTGAAATAAACGACCACTATGAGCAACCAATGGGAATCGCTTTGCTGCCTCACACCTCTGGTGCCACTAAGCAATGGCAGGGTGTTCACTGTAGCAAGAATCACAATTCAGCAATAGTCACAATTAAGCCAACTAATTAACACATATCCTAAATAAACATTTAGTAAAAAGATAATATTCAGTTACGATAAATATATTAATACTCATACTGCTTTGTCTTTGTGTGTGTGTGTGTGTGTGTGTGTGTGTGTGTGTGTGTTAAGTAGTTCACTAAACAGGAAGCAGTCTCGGCGGCGTGAAGACAAGCTGCTCCCCCCCCTCCTGTCGCCGCTCTCTGACGATCCGCCTCGTAAACGGACCTGTGACAGCAGTTCCTCTCTCGGCCAGGAGGGCGTCGCCTCTGGGACGCTGCCCTGCTCCACCTCCTCCACTTCCACTTCCACTTCCACTTCCTCACACAGACACAGGAGAGGTGAAGGCAAGGCATCGACACACGCGAGGAACGGCAGTGTAAGTGCTCAAAAGTGCTGCTGTTGTACGTGTCACCATTTGCAAAAGCATACTTGCTCCTGTTTGTATAATACACCAAGTATCCAAGAGATTTCTCATTTCCCAGTTTGTACATCCTCCATTCCTTTCCTCGCCTCCTCTCCTCGCATCTTTGTCCCGCCCACTGGAGATGCGAGGAGAGGAAGGGAGGAAAAGACGGAAGGAGATGGGAGACGAGGCAACGGGCATTTAACAAATGAGACATCCTTGCCTTGGAGCCGCCGTTTTCAAGCAAAGTCAATTAAAAACATCACACACAGCTGTTTTGTTGTACCTCTGTATTTATGCACTTACGAGGTGCTACACAAATAGTGAAGGACAGAGAGTTTGACCGCGCCTTTAATGGATCTGATCATCTTAATTATTTACAGCTTAAGAATACAAAAGGAACAGTTGCATTTGTAAAGTCTTACCATGGCTTGAGATTATTCCAGCTGATGCTGAATGTCACGGATGCCGAAAAGGAACACACACCGGTGTATTGCTTCTTGTTCCTTCCTTGCTCCCTAAACCTAATCTCAGGAAGTGGGATGTCCTTCATGATGGAGCGCTGAGATGGATTTTCAGGTCAAAAGCCGGAGGATCGAGGAGACGGGGAGGCACAGCATGGAGACATGAGAAGAGCCCTATGTAGGAGTGATAGTAGGCTGGTGGCATTATCTTCTCGCAAAATTTAGTTGCTCCCCTGACACTGGCACTGTTCCCAAAAATAACTCTTGAGTTAATGACATGCCATGAATCTGCAGCGTGACACACATCTCCACCGCTGCTTCAGGAGTGTCAGGAGCAAAAGTCACTGAAACATGTTGTGTGAGTGTTTTTTTCCCGTGGTGGATGAAGTATTCAGAGCTTTTACTTGGCTATAAGCAGCAATACTACAGTATACAAGTGTTACAAACCAATCCATTCCTAAGTTTACCCAAGTAAAAGTACTATTAGTATTAATAAACTTAAAGTATTGAAAGTAAAAGTACTCATTTAAGAATCATACATATTATATTATATTTATATATTTCCGGGTTATCAATAGTGGTGCAGTAATGTGTACATCACTTAAATGTTGCGGCTGCTGAAGATGGGGCTAGTTTTAACTACTATGTATACAGCTGGGTAGCTTATATGACATATCAATAATCTAAATCTGCAAAGTAACTCAAGCAATCAAATGAATATAGTGAGTAGAAAAAGAAAGTATATTTGTCTCTGAAATGTAGTGGAGTAGAAGTATAAAGTAGCATGAAATGGAAATGCTCAAGTGATGTACAAGTACCTCAAAAATGCACCTAAGTACAGTACATGACAAATGAGTTACTTTCCACCACTGGTACTGATGTACAGTAGAAGGTAATGCATGAAAACAGATGCAAAAAGCACAAGATTGACTAAAGAAGTGCTCCCAGTAAACTACTAAATGTAGAAGTATTTACAAAATGACAATACATTTAATCATATTCTACTTCATTTCAATTTAAAGTTTCAGAAGAGCTTAAAATGCAAAACGTTCGATTTGTCATGGATTTGCGTGTGAATATATAATCATAATGTTCTGTAGTATCTACTTGTGGCTCACCTGACAGTTGAGTGAGTTGAGCCACGCCTCCCTGGCTTACTTTGTTTCCATCCGTTCATCCCTGACGTATAACGGTGACAGCATCATTAACGACCATTAATTCAGCCGGCAAAGTGAATCCATCACTGAACGAGAAGCCGGCGATAAAGTTGAAGTAGCGGTTTGATGAAAGCCGCGCATTGTAATGCTATCGTAACCGTGGATTTAATGCCTTCCCTACTTCAGGAAGTCGACACCCACAGCGAGAAGCCCAGCGGAGACGGTTACCATGCCAACGGACAGTCGGACTCGGAGGTGTGGTCGGAACCACCGGTGGAACCTGCAGAACCTCGCCGGCCACGACTGACGTTTAGCGACACGTATGTGGAAATACTGGTTAAACCGTACACGGCGATATGTACAAAACAGGAACACAATGACTGCAATGGATCCGTAGCTGCTGCTTCACCTCCTTGTGAAGTCTGTCAGCAGCTTCATTCATAAACACATTCATATTCTAATCAGCGTGGTTCATAAGACCTCGCCTTCTGTACGTTACTCCCTCGCTGCTTGTATAAGTAATCTCTCCTTCTCCTGTGTTAGGAGACAGCAGGTGTCTCCTGTTTACATGGAGCAGGTCTCGGATTATTCCACTGTATACATGTTATGTGTCTTGTTTTTACATCACAGGGTTTGTGTTGATTATGCTGTGCGAGTCCGCTCTCTGAGATAACTACATGCAGTCAATGAAGACAGAGCAGACTGTTCTTTATTCAACACAAGTGTAATGATGTAAACTCAATATCTCCGTTGCTTTTTTTAATGGAGGCCAACAGTTTGACTAGGAGATGGAGAGCACCGCTCCTCCCATGTTAACGCTTAAAACTTTCAGAATATTTGGCAGAAGGTGGAGTGAGTGGAAAGCTTGGCGGCTTTAGTACCAGCAATACCAGTGGATTTAGATGGAAGCTGTGGTTCTACGGGTTTGGTCTCCATCACAAGACTCAAGTCACAAATTTGATGACTTTAGACACGACTTGACAATATCAATAAAGGCTCGCCTGGACTTAAACGCCAATGACTCGTGACTTCACTTGAATTTAAGTCTTTCGGCTTAAAAACACTTGATACCTTCCCCCAAAATAGATTAAGATTATTAAGTAGTATTTTATTTTAAAAGTGTGCCACAAATCAGTTGATTTCCTGAATAAACTTAGTCCACAAGTAATTCCTCAGATCCGCTTTGTTTGAACCAATCCGACAACATCCAATCAAGTTGCAGGAGAGAACTTAACTAATGTTAACTTAACTTACTGAGTGGCAGTCAGAAACAATTATACCAAAGATAAGTTTGTTCTACGCGGTGGTCAACAAAAACTAATTGCAGGTGTAAAATTATAGATGAAGACACAAATGGCAATGCATTTGGTGAGGAGCACATTATTACTTGTTTAGGACTCGAAATTCAAAGTTAAGGACTTGACTCGGGACTTGAAAAACAGTGACTTGGTCCCACCTCGGCTGGCTACAAATTATTACCACCATGATCTATCTTATGATCTTACACAATAATGCATTCCAGAGGCCCTCTCTGGTCCCAAATTGTGTACCCGACCCAAAAGAGCCGAGTCTGACTCACAGGATGTAGAACGTGAATACAAGCCTACCATTGGCTGCTTACTCCACACAGAATTCTCCTCCCCTTTCCCAGCTGTCTCCGCTATTTATTTTTGCAATGCCACCGTCGCTGCATCCTGAGACAATTGTGATCGGTTTAAAGAAATATAAACAACGCAGAGTGGAAAAAAAAGAAAAAGGTGTGACCAACAGACTAGCAGCAGTGAGAGAGGTCTGGTAATGTCAGAATAGCCCAAACCTGACATGCATGAATACTTGGAAATAAAACAACATAGACACACACACACACACACACACACAATCCAAAAGGGACCCGAGGATAATTAGACCTGATGAAGAAATGCTGTCGACACCAAAAGACCCTGATACAGAGAGAACCCCGACAGTGACAGCTGCATGATGCTCCCCCAATTAACACGCAGCTGCGGTCAGAGAGATTAGCTATATATATGATTTTCCTCTGTGCTTTACGAGTCACACTGACACCAGACCAGTCCAGACTGCTGCTGCTCATCTTCTCCGTTCACCACCCGGGCTCCACATCAAGACAAAGCCCTCTGCTTAACGAACATAATAGAATGTAGCACAGTAATTATAATTATGACACACCTTGTGATTAGAGCTGATGGCAAGTCCACCTAGATCCTCGAGGATATTAGACATATTGACACACGGACCTGAGAGTTGACACAGTAGAGCAGGACCCTACCTAACCCAATTAGCCTGAATATAGTTTAGACCCACCCTGACTGAACCGAGTGGTCCCATGGAGATCTCTGATGCATTCTCATCTCTGTCTCAACTGAACATCAAAACCTGCCGGCATGTTTTCTTTTAACAATCGCCAAAACTGCAACGTTTATCCTCGCCAGCAGCCGTATGAACCGTCATTATCGTCAGATTTTCATCATTCCAACTGTGATATTTCATCAAAAACATTTCATTCTACACGTCTCATTTAATATCTCGCCCAAAATAAACCTTTTACTGTAACCAGAGACTTTTAATTTGCCTGCAAGTGTCACGTGACAACAATTCTGAGCTCAGAGCCTTGAGGAGAGGCAGGAAGTAGAGGTTGTAAAAATGTCAATAGTTCAATATATATCATTTTCTTTCCACAATTGGTAACACTTGTGGACACTTGGAAAAATGTTGGACATGTAGATTCCATTGTTTGATCAACGAAATGATCAACGAAATTCAATTTTCTTTTTTATGATTCATGGCATGGCTTCTGTGTTATAGTGCACAACAGACCCGTTTGAGTTGCCTCCTCTTCCAGCCGTGGTGGTGCTGTTTCCATAGAGGTGCAGGACTTTTACATTGCAGTGAATAACGAGGCCACAGAGAGACGAATGTGACAGCTGACAACCGCTTGGTGTTCAGAGGGTTAACACAACTCGTCTCATCCTGAAACAACTCGTCTGCTTTTAGGGAGGATCGCCGTCCTCATGCTGCAGATTAGACATTTTAAAATGTCTGTAACTACCTCAGCACTGGTCCGGTTGTGTTGAGAAGAGAAAAGATGATACATCGCGTTGCTTATTTGTCCCAAAGGGTTCCTGCATTATTCATGAAACAACATGTTTTGTTGTTACACTCAGGTTACACTGAGCCTGAGGAATGTATACCTAAGTAGGCTACTGTATATAACTCACAGCAAGCTACTCGTAGCCAGTGATTATGTAAATCACCCTGCAGGGTTTTAATTATTTACTTATTGTCACATGCTATGTATGCTCTTTTCCCCCTGTGCTGTTCCCAGAGTCCATAGTGCAGACTACTACATGCAGGAGGCCAAGAGACTGAAGCACAAGGCCGACGCTTTGGTAAGATGTCGTCTCCCACAACTCTTTTTGCAGTCACTGAAAGACGGAGGTCACACACACACACACACCTACACCTCTGTCCTTGAGCACATAGAGTGGGCAACGAGGAGACGGACAAACAAACGGCAAGAAAATTATTTGATAACACGATGTTACCATCTACAGTCTAGACTTTAATTATGCGTCTGTGTGTGTGTGTGTGTGTGTGTGTGTGTCGTTGATCATGTGTGTGCTCTGCGAGTCTCTGAAGAATGAAAATCTATTTCACATCAAGTGGCGCACTGTATAATTTGTGTTATTTATTGCAGCATTTGTCTCCGGGGGAACATTGCATTCAAGGACTGATGATGTCTGCAAGATTATACAATATCAAAAGAATTATCTGATCCCCTCCCCGACAATGAAATGAGATTTATTTAACTTGTTATTTATCTTGTGTTTACGCCTTGTTTCCTCACATTTATCTGGGGATTTTGCATCTTAGCAGGAGATTATTCCAAGAGTGCGTCTGCCACAATGCTGTTAAGACGTTGCTTCTTCTGTCTTTGTCTTCTCTCTCTCTGTTTCTGTTTCTTTTTGGATTTTTCCTCATTGTCACATTTCGGCTTTCTCTCCGTCACTTATTGGTCCGTCACTCTTGTTTTTTTCGTTCTTCCTCTCTATCTGTAGATGGACAAATTTGGTAAAGCGGTGAACTACGCAGACGGCGCCCTCTCCTTCATAGAGTGTGGGAATGCGATGGAGCGAGATCCACTGGAGGCCAAGTCCCCGTATACCATGTACTCTGAGACTGTGGAGCTGATCAGGTACAGTAAGGAGGGACGGACAGAAAAGTCACATGAAGACTAAGATAGGTATATATACTGTATATATATACCTTTCTTAGTCTTCACTTCACTTATCAACAAGCATTACTTTTAGTTACTGTGAGGAACTTGTAACCTACAAAATACACGAGACCATCAGCGAGAAGATTGTCTGTCTATATAGTTATGCTTAAAGCTTGTCAAACCATGCACATAAATAAAGGCCAGCAAACAGAAGCACTTGAGACGTGATCTCTGGCTCTGTTCGTGAACCTAACATTGAGTATGCAGTGTGTGCGCACTGTCAGCAGTATGAGGACTTTGTGTACGAGAGAAATTAGTTTGTACTAGATTAGCAGGAAGTATAAACTTGAGCTTAATGGACATACTCAACCGCCCCAGCATGCATTGCTCCTCTTTAGACGAGGTTTGTTAAAAGGATTACGATGGCGAGGGATGTTGAGGTGAAGTTGAGACATTCATAAAGATTCTAGCAGTTCTTTTTTCAAAGATAATTCTCTGGAAATCAAAAAGGTGCTTTCACACTCTACTCAGATATGTAGCCATTGAATGCTGTATTTCCTTGATTCTTTCATAACGACCCACATAGATGAGTGGGTTCTTCCCATGTGCACTGCCACAGCACATTCCCTATAATTACACCTCTCTTATCAGCCCAACCTGTTGTAGATTTAGCCTATTAGCCGAAATAATATTCTGCGGTTGCATATGTTCACCTCTCTGCCCACAGAAAATGACTAATCAAAACCTGAGTCTTGGAATAACAACTAAAACCTGATTAGCATGAAGCCGTTGCTGTATTCAGAAACGTCAGGACTCTGCAGGATTGTATTTTATTGATGTCTAATCTTTGTTGTCTGAAGCATCACAGACCCGCGGAGCTGCTAATGAGCAGAGTTTAACGAGTGTTGCGTCGCAGGTCCTCTGCTGTTCTCCAGAGCTGCCGGTGTGGGAAGCCGCAAAGCGCGACTTTTAAGAGAGCAAAGTGAGAATAACAAACGACTGCTTCCTTTGAAGGCTGACAGCAGGGCGCTGTAGTGGGAGAGAGTCTTTTCACTGAAGGACTCAGGTTCAAGCCCTGCTTGTCTGCACTCATCCATCTTGTTGAAGTGTCCTTGAGCAAGACGCCGAGTCGCCACCAGCTGCGGGGGGCTGCTGATCTGTGACTCTGGCCTTTGACCTCCCGGAGGAGGGAGCAGCAGGAAGGGACAAGAATTTCCCCACAGAGATCGATGAAGGATAAAGGTGTCGGCGCTCTCACTTGATTCACCCGTCACCGCTGGATTTCATCTTGACCGATTAAACCAGCTGGCTGAGCAATCAGACCGGGTCACCGAGGGCGGGAGGCAGCAGCCGATCCCCACAGCATCTTTGAAATACCTAATCAGCCACCAAGGGATACATTCATCCTTCCACAGAGGCAGATGAAGCTGACCCGTAGCTCGTCTTGCCGAAGGGCACTTCAGCAGGGTGGATGCTGAAAGACGTGAATCTCTAATTGCCGTGTCACCGCTTTACATTCTTTGCGTTCAGAAAGAGCAGCTCCTCGAATGACTCTAACCTCGGTTTTCTAATTACGATGAACCATGAGGATGCATGTATTGACCGTCATTAACAGATGCAGCATGTTTACACTTCACCGCCATCGATCAGTGGACATGTGAGTGATGAGCGTCTCTACTCTGCAGGTACGCCATGAGGTTGAAGAACTTCACCAGCCATTCAGCCACCGTCGCTGAGAAGAAACTCGCCGTGTTGTGGTACGACAATTCTCTTTTTATGTGTGTGTGTGTGTGTGTGTGTGTGTGTGTGTGTGTGTGTGTGTGTGCAGGGTGAGTGCAGGGCCGTAGTCAGGATTTAAGAAATACTGAGGTCATGAGTTTCCCAATGCCAGGTTTCTAAATTGTTTCTTACCATTAAGATGTTTCTGGTTTTTAATTATGAGCCCGGCCAAACTGCTACGTGAAGCTACCTGTTACGCTCTGTTTGAGAAGCTTCACCCGCAAGAAAAGGTGGAAGAGATTCTCATGCTGCTGTCTGACATCAGCAGACAAAAACGGAACAAATTGATCAGCGTCAGTAGTTGTATGACGGGACCTGAAACAATTAGGAAACATGAACACAAGCTGCCAACAACGTGTCATCAGCGAGTAAAGCAGGACTTAGATGTCAGGTCAGGATCTGACAGTCACAGAGATGCTGTAGGCTGACTGTAGTTCACAGTACACCGGTCACCTGACAGCAACAACGATGACACAATCCTGCAGAAACAGAGACAGAAGGCTCTGTGATTGTTATTATAGTTTTTTTCCATTTTATTTATTTGATGTGATATTTCAAATGACTTCACAAAGAGTTGGACTTTGATTTGATCACATATTAGTCTTGTACGTTTCTCACACTCTTTGTTTCACTCAAGTTCCCCCTAATCCGGGCGGACGTGCGGCGCCGTGTTTGAAGTGCATGTTTGTGCGGATGACATGAAGATGATACTGAGGACGGAGCTTTAAAGGGGATTCATCTGCCTTCTCTAATGGGTTTGTTTCCATAGTAACCGCTGTCTGTCTCTGCTGTATCTGAGGATGTTCCATTTGAAGAAAGACCACGCTGTCAAGTACTCGCGGTCGCTCATGGAGTACTTCAAGGTAGCACGCACACACACACACATTTGGACATGGACTTTATTTCCTCTCGCTCTCATTTTCTCCCTCTGCGGTTGAAAAACATGAAAAGCCAATTACAATCCCTCCAATACATTTCATATTCATTTTCATGGTGCCCGTGCATTCATTTTGCATGACGTTATTAAAATCCATTCTTTCTCTTTGATATTAACGTATTAATTAGCTCCATCAGTCATCACAGTGGATTGTTGGGGTTTAATGTGCTTGTTTTGATTAATTGCGTTTGGTTTAATTAATTACTGAGGATGTCATTATCACAGTGCTGCATTTGCATTGATGGGATTGGATTCCTGGGACGGGACTGACTGGGGGTTTAGCTGTGTATGTGTGCACAGGCTGTGTACATACAGCACGTGCTGACAGACAGAGAAGAGGAAGAAACACTGAAAGCAGTCTGAGCGCTTCATTTCAAAAGAGTCCAACCGGATCTGTAACTATATGACACATTCATGTGTTAACATTACATACTGTTAATGTGCAATGTGTGGTTGTATTATCATAACATTCATAATTAAGGGTTTGTTGTATCACTGATGAAATGAAGGGATCACAGTCTGTGTTTATGGATAGATATCACTCACTCTGCACTTTAACTTACTGTATCAGTTATACAAAGAAGTCAGCTGATGCAAACAGCCTTTTGGATAACTCTGGCACCGTCACAGCAATGTTAACCAACGGGTGCCGACCCCGTTAGACCAATACATAAAGAGGTAAATAGAGAAAGACTTTTGGCATTTGTGAAAGATTTGCTTTATTGCTCAGAGCTGGAGGAGAAGATTGATGGCACCGTCCTAGCTGTCTGCTTAATATGAAGCGACAGCCAGCCGGCCGTTTGCATAGCCGAGAATACAGACTAGAGAAGGGGAATGTGTTATCCTGGCTCTGATTGATTTACCTTCAGATGATACATTTCTCCTTCTTCCATCTCTAGTCTTCCTCTCATGTATCTACTAAAGCTGTTACTGTAAGCCATAAAAAAAAAAAACACGTTTTAATACATTTGTCTTTCTGTGACCCAGAATTCAGCCAAGAGTTCCCACCAAGCACCCTCTCCCTGGAGGATCAATGGGAAGTGAGTACACACACACACACACACACACACACACACACACACACACACACACACCTACACACACACACACACCTACACACACACACACACGTGTGCAATCTTACCCCTCCCCTTCATTCACACAGATAATTGAGAATTTATAATGCACCGGAGCTCTGCTGCAAAATACCATGGAGCCCCTGACAGCCACTTGCTCAAACAAACCCCTCAGGAAGCAAATAAAGGGATTGATTTGTTGTAGATGTGAGGAGCAGAAGACTGGAGGGGCCGCCGAGAAGGAGTGATGGAGGGAGTGATGATGGATGGATGGAGGAGGAGAGGGGTGAAGGAGCTGTGGATGCGAAGCTAATGAGTTTGGACAGCTCTGATGCTGCACAACAGCAAGACGAGCTCAGTGTGTGTGTGTGTGTGTGTGTGTGTGTGCGCCTGTATGTGTGTGGTGAGTGTGAATCAGGCACAAGTTGTTGGGTCGGCGAGGGTCAAGGCCACATCACAGACATTACATCACTGCCAGAGCCACACACCCAGCTGAGCAGGGCAGGGGAGCAGTTTGTACTAGCATGACTGATGTTACTATACAGTGTATACCAAAGTAACACACACACACACACACACACACACACATTTAATACTTCTTACAGCCTTTTGGACTGAAATGATCACTGCTTGGAGAAGCCAAAACAACAGTTTGTCTAATCTCCACTATCATTGATGTGCAGCGGTATTAACAACAACACGCCATATCATCGTTAGGGCTGTGTAAAATAGTTCAAGCTTCATTCATAACGCTGACATTTCAATTCTAAATCACCATTCAAATGCTGCACAACTTTCTTTTTTTTCCCGGCATGTCTATTCTGCTTAAATGCAGTATTTCTGCACAGTTGCAGATATATTACCAGGCTACACTAATATTATTATTGCTATACTATTCGTAGAATTAGATTCCACTGGTGGCTGCGTAATTCACGGGTCAATTTACGAGTCGGGTGGATTTGGGTAAGCCTACTAGCAAATATCACAGGTCAGAACATTATCAATGGTTCTGGTGGTTGATAAACACATGTTATTGTGGGTCAGGTTGTGCCGATTGTCCCTCATGGGTTGGGTGGGTGCGAGTATTAAAAAATCCTGACCCACGCATCACTCCATAACATCGATTTAGACTCATTGGATCCAAACATTTCTTTATCTAAGGAAATATTCCGCTTCAATCTACATTCTACCGCTGTCGTTGCGGTGATGTTAAACTGGTGTAAACATTTTCAAACCTGTTTGATTTGACGGCAAATGTCGGAGTGGACCAGTACAACAGCTTTGACCACTTGGTGCTTCACTTGACTCAGCAGCCACTCTATCAAAACTTAGAGGAGCAGCTTGTCCAGCTTGTGTAAGAATAGCTGGTCCACCTTAATGGTCAGTCCACCTTAAGTGAGCCTGGGCTGAAGTTTGAGGGAAAACCCCCTCAACTGTAATTGCTTTGGTTCGGTTGGCTCATTTACTGTCTTGGTTCAGCAGACAGTAAACAGACTGTAAGCAGGCAGCTTCAGTAGAACTGTAAAAACCCACTGTACACTACCTGCCCAGCACCAAACAGCAGACATTATATATATTTGAACATTGCCTGGAGGAGCTGTATGTGAGAACGTAAATGTCTGAATAATTCAGACCGGACATTAAACAGACTTTACCCTGCCAGCTCTCTAGCACAAAGTCTGAGTGATGTCCTATTTCAGCCCATGTGTGAATAGAGCAGGTCATTCACAGCGAGCGAGTGGGTAAGTTGATAATGTGTCTATCATGGGGCTCGCACAAAACCGTAAGAAACAAACGTTCAAGGGTGAAGGAAATGTCTGACAGGGGAGATGACGACATTTGGGAGCTTCTGTCCTTAAGGGCTGACAGGGGAACCGTCAGACTAATCCAAGGAGACGAGATGCAGCTGTTTAAGACACAATTACAAACTGGACATGTCAGAGATGTACCACTGTGAGTTCACATTAACCTTACATTCATCTGGTGGCTGAAAGGATGACACAAAAGAAGGCTAATGTGTAAATAAGCAAGTGTTTGTGAACACATTAGTCATAACAACTTTATAAGGTGATAATATCTCCGTCTTGAGTTCCATTGCTCCCAAGTGGCCAAAACAAAATCCATAAATGCAGCTTTAATACCATCTTCTTTTATAAACTTGTTACTTTCTGTCACAAGTATAGAGCTTGTTGTCCCGATGGCGTGTTTAACTTTCCATTTTCTTCTGTCCTTGTCCTTGTTCTGATAACTGTTTTGTTGTTGTTTCCCACTCCACCCCTCATCTCTTACCCTGAGCCACTTCAAAATAAAGCTTCTCCTGCTTTGTGCGACAGCAGTCGAGCCGTTTTTAGCAGTCTTATCTTTAGGAAATAGAAAACTAATAAAGACAGTATTCAGCAGACACGTCCTTGACGCCAGTAAGTCTGTTTGGAAAACATGTAACAAGCGAAACTCTCGGCTGACACACTTTCCTCTTTGTATGTTATCAAGTCACTCAAAAGCCCTTCCAGCATACAGAAGCTCCCTGTTTAATTCTCTTGGTGTTACTGGGACTCACTGCCTCTCTTTACAGGGTTAACGGGACCCCGTCCCCCCTCTCACTCAGCCCCTCCCCGGCTGGCAGCGGAGGGGCGGGAGGAGGATCCGGAGGAGCCCCGGGCTCGTCGGGAAGCGTGGCCATCCCTCAACGGATTCATCACATGGCTGCCAGTCACGTTAACATCACCAACAACATCCTGCGGAGCTATGAACACTGGGAGACGGCTGATAGACTGGCCACTGATAGCCAAGGTAGGACTACAGACGACTGAACATGTGCTCTGGAGGTTTGACTTTACACCCACGTGACAGCAGGCGATTAGAAGAGAAGATGTAAAGGCTTTTATGACTGGCTGTTTGCTCAGTCACACACAGGAGCAGGAGGACGATTTAAGTCACACCACCAGGGAAATGAAAAGAACAAGTGACTGTTTGAAAGATAAAACTACACATCGGATCGGATAACATTATTTTTGATCAATGACATTTCAATACATTTATATCTATTAATTCATTTGTTACATTTTGCTCTACAAAGTAAGGAGAGCAATGTTTCGGTCAAGTCTGACGTTGCCTTACACATAAAGAAATGATGCTCTCAGTGAGGCATACAGCTCATTAGTTGAATACTGGTGTTGGTTCGGTACTCGGTAGGCCCAGGTATCGGTATCAGGACTGACCAGTAAGCAGTCTAGTGAAAGGAAGGATCATTCATACATAACAACAATCAAAGAATATGCCTACATTTACTAATCAGAGATCACATGAGGTAGCACTATCAGAGCGCGACATATAATATGAATTTTGGGGAGGAGGAACATACAACAGCTGTTTGTGGCTAACGTCGCTCTCTCTCGTACCAAGATTCACGACCACGAAAATCAAGCATGATATGAAACCGTGTCTCTCTGTCTATTTATCTCTGCGTTTCTATAGATACATGAAGTTTAAACAGGAGGATCAATGAGCAAAATAATAACAGCGCGTGATTCCACGATCACTCAACTATGGGCAAGACTCGACCAATTAGATTCGACTATGTAAATTCTTAGTCGAGCACACACACACACACACACACACTGCAGAAATAGACATTGAATAGTCCCTGTTCATCCAGCTTCACTAGTCTTACAGATAGTTTCTATCAGAATCATTTCCACACTGTAAACCTTGTATCCCTCCTTCACCTAAACAAAGAGCACATACTTGACCCGCTCAGTTGTCCAATCACTGTATATGTGGTTCCACTGGATGAACCAACAGCACTCATTTACAGTCTCACTGGTATGAGGCTCAGCGGTTCGTTCCAGCGTCCCAGAACCGCCCTCCTCTTTACCTGCACCCACACACACACTCACCACAGCCCTCCATCATGGCTGCTTCTGTCTATGACATCACTGTGGAATCAAATTTGTCTCAAAATGGTCACAAATGTTTATTACATGATCTGCAAATGATGTGTGCGTTATTTTGGGTAGTCGTCAGTGACTGTTCCAATCTACACACAAATCCCAATCAATTTGAACTTGTGTAAAACGAATGCCACCTGAATCAGTATTAATGTTTTATGTGCAGGTTTTCAACTTCAGCTTCCAAAATCTCATAACTTTCTCCTTTGAAAAGCTTCCTGTGTATACAAAGTCTAAAATATTTGTGATATATTTTTATATTTATTTACAGATTGTTAAATGTGTGCGCACGGATCAGGTTACGTGTGGAGTTCTGAGAGTATTTTCACGGTCTCCAGCTCACACAGATCCACAAATCCATGCAGGTGGAAAACATCTGGGACATCTGGGCTTTCAGTGTAATGCATATTATGTGACCATTTTGAGACTAATTTCACTCCACACCACGCGCTAACATCATGCTAGCCAACAACAAACAGCAGACATCATGTCACGCTAACAAGCATGTTGCTATCACTGGCAGCATCCCACGAAACAACAGCCAACCCATCATCCTCAGCATGCTAACAGCACGTCAAGCTAACTGTCATGCTGCCTGAGCCCCCAAATAAACCAAACAACAAAGTGTTAAGCCAGCTAACATTTTAACAATTGTTTGTAATTCATTTGATTTTGCCTAAGCCACTAACTAAAGCTCAAGATTTAAAGTGAGGGTTGAATTTTTATAATAAAAGTATTTTCACTTCTTTTCATTCGTCACATTAATGCTCCTCCAAAAACAAAAAAAAAGTCATTTTATTTTTCTTTATTTGATATGGACGATGTGATTTAACATTGGCTGCGTTTTCACCAAGAAGTTGCTGGTCATTTTAGTCCCGGAACTACTTTTTGAGAAATTAAAAGGTCCCTTCAGCTCACTGATGTCTGCGTTTCCGTGGCGCTCTAAAGACCTGCAGAGATGAGGCACATTAGTCCGCTGACGTTTGTAAAGAACACGACACGGGACGAGAGCTGCTGCTGCTCCTGGAGGTAAACACACTGTAGTTCAGTGCAGCCGCCTGTTCCATCTAAAGAAAACACATTGTCACACTGCGACGACATGTACTGCTGCGTAGTGTTCACTGATGCATGTTGTAATGAGTTAAATGCTGACGAGGGAAATGAAACTGTCTCCACAATCAGCGACGGTCGTCCCTGCAGACCCCGCCCCTAAAACTCCTTTTAAAAACGTAAAATCTCCCCGGAACTTAATTTAGATCCTGGTCCCTGCGGTCGAAACGCAACGAGTTCCTCAGAGGGTCCTAGTCCCGGGAGTAAGGGACTATAGTTCCAATACAGAGCTCACTTTCAACTCTCGTCCCCCGTTAGGCTTTTACATGTAGAGTGTAATTAAAACATAAAGCTTTTCACTATCATAAACCCGCAATACACTACAAAACATCGGTGGAAAGTGTTATAAACCAATACTTGAGATGTGTCGAGGTGTGGATGTGTGACTTTGCCTCTCGATGTCCACAGCACAATCAGATCAAATCAACACCTTGCTGTACTCATGTTTCATTTCAGCATTGGGGACCCTCAGTAACTGTGTCTCTCCCCCACCTCCCCTAGAGTTCTTCCAGGAGCTGGACTCGGTGATGGAGCCGTTGAGTCAGCAGAGCAGCATGACGGAGCTGGTCCGATACATCAGGCAGGGACTGCACTGGCTCCGCTTAGAGGCTCACCTGCTGTAAGGACTGGAGCCCAGCCAAAAATAATAAAACAAATAGAGAGAGGAAGAAAGACATTTGCCTGGGAGCTAGAACTGGGATAACAAGTGAGATGAGACTCGTGGCGATGCTTCGGTTCCCACTGGGATCCTTCAAATGACCCGACACCACCCGCAGTAGTGTAACGGCACAGACTGGGTGGATTAATTGGGCTGAAATTCACCTGAACAGTAATTAAGTTTGGGAATTTCCGCTGTGAATCACAGAATACAAAGTAGCACATTAAACGTTTGGCTGATGCTGCTTCTTTTTGGAGCAACTGTATCTCCGCGCAGGTAGCTTCAATTCCTTAAGGGGCAATAGATGTTGTAAACCTTCCTGTGTCCCTGAATAGAAATAATAATAAGCAGTAAAAAGTATTTTTACAAAGACGGGATCATTTTCAAAAAAAAGCTATGTGAGCAGCTGATGTGATTTAGGAGGCTGGAGGTAAGGAGCTCAACAGAGGCTCATCTGCTGCAGCGGCAGCCTCGAAACGTGTCTGTGATTGGGACCAGAGCGAAAGCCTCGGGCTGATATCGATCCAAGTGGAGCACCGGTCCAATCCATTAGATGAGCAGCACTAGTGAAGGAAAGAGGCCCAGCTTTAACCTCTAGAGCTGAATTGATGGAGGCCAACGTTAGTCCTCTGCTTTCTGTAGGTCTGTGACACAAATGTTTTTAAAGTTTGAAATACATCTATCCTGAGTATCAGGACTGTCTCACTTTGTCCAGCGGCCATCGAGCGACTCACATGTGATCTGGATCGGTGGGTTGTTAAAGTAGAAGCACTTAAGATGCACAGCCTCTGTGATAACCCCAACATTAAGCTAGCGAGACCGAGGATTACAAGACCTGGTCAAGCTGCCGTACGGGGAGTTCCCGGCTCAGCAGAACAAGTAGTCAACTCACTGGTCCTACAAATGAGGGCTTTCCTCCATCAAATAAAGAGCATTTGTCTGGTTCTTCTCTCACTGGTTATGGGCTTTTTGTGAAATTCCACACAGTTCTATTTCCCATAGTAACCCACCCACTGAGGTGTCAAACACTTACAAGGGGAAAAAACTACAAGACTCCTAATTAAGCCCCACCCACGTGCAGATGGAGTTAAGGGGGGGGGGATCTCACACTCGCATTTTCTGTCAACAGAAACCTGTGTCACTTTGTACATCTCTCTGAGGTCAGATCACCTGCCGGATGTCTTGTAGTCGTTTCCCAAACGTGTGTCGTGTTGTGTCGTTCGTGTGCATACGTGTACAGCTGGTTGTCAAGTCTATAAATCCTTACCTGACAGGACAATACAGATGTTTGTGTACCATAATGTACAAACTGTGACTCCTGGAAACACTGTTTGTTTTTGTTTTGTGAGTGATTCGATGTGAATGAATGAGGAAGTGAAACAAAAAAAAAAAAAAAATATATATATATATTATAATTATTTTTTTTTTTTTTTTTTTTTGTGTGTGTGTGTGTGTGTGAGAGACTGATAGAGTGTATGATTGTGTATCCATGCACAGGCTATGGCTGCATTTACACAGTGCCATACATGATCATATTTTTAACCCTTTGTGGCACTTTAAAAAAACAAAAACAAAAGGAGTTTCTATTTGGCTTCTCCTGTTTTCACATGTGCCATAAAGATTTAAAATCTGGATGTGTGTCCATGGTCTCTATAAATCCAGCACATCAAGCATGAGTTTGTTTTAAGTTTTGGATCATTTGACCATCGCTGAATGTGTATGGAAGACAATGCGGATGTGAAAAGTAATTTTCACTTTGACAAAAAAAAAAAAAAAAAAAAAAAACAGAAACTCAAGTGCCTCTATTTGTGTCCGTGGGAATTGCTCTATTTATTTGAGAACAAAGAATTAATCTAAATGATTTTCCATACCATATTGGTATAAATATGAGATTGTTTTTCGTAAAATCAAATGTTTCCACAAGCTTTTTACTGGCGTTTATGATGACACCAGGGTTTGGCTTTAAGAAAAATGTGTGATTTAATGTGTCAAATTTGCATTAGTTGCTGAGGGTTTTTTTCTTGGTGATTTGAGCAAGTATGGGTTTTGTCTGAAATGCCTGAAAAATGTAAACCATCGCATGCAATAAATGATAGCTTCAGACCAAGAACTTCTTGTGTCCAATTTGAAAAAGGAAAAAAACAAACAGTCGATGTATTTCTTGTCATTTACAGTGTGAATGTTCTACATCACCTGGAAATACAGAGCTGCTTTAAATGCACAGCACGAGAGTTAACAGCCGGATGGAGGTAATACTGTCACTGAACAGGAGAAACAGGAAACGTTTCACATTTTAGGAAATACGCAGAGTTTAGGTGAGAAGATTGATACCACGTTCGCTAAATATGAAGCTAAAGCCGACTGCTGTTTAGCTTAGCTTAGCATAAAGCCTGGTAGCGACACAAGAGGTGAAGTCACGCAAGTCAACAGAACAGCGTGACTTCACCTTTGTCCAAACAGTCTCTACCTGCTGCGTAGCTAACGCCATCAAGCAAGGACAGTCGGTCGTCTAACACGCTGCCAGTGTTTTCTTAATATGCTTCAGGTTTTTTGTGATTCCTTCTCAACTGTCGTGCACATGAAGTCTTCAAAATAAGATTCTTCAGTCATGAATTAGTCTCGCTGCATTTTGCAGTGAACAAAAAGATTAGAAATGTGAATCGTTTCCAAACAAAAGCCAAAGTGTAAACGGGTTGAAGACTTCACAGTAAACTTAGTTTTATTTTAAACGGATAAAAAGATTATGCTTAACGTTATATTGTCTTAATTACTGGGCTTTTGAATTGCAAAGCCAAGCTAGCAATCTCTCCGTTTCCAGTCTTTGCGCTAAGCTAAGCTAAGCTACCTGGCTGTCTGTAGCTTGATAGTCAGCGCACAGACGTGAGAGTAGCGAGGAACGTAACGAGCGTATTCCCAAAAATGTGAAACGACTCCTTTAAAAATGGACTCCCTGTTCTTCATCTGAAAGCCTGCAAATGTTTACTAGTTAACATTTTTGGACAACAGTACAAACTGCACTCCCCGTTTAACAAAAAAATGCCTTTTAAACTCGTTTTTATTTTTTTACTGATTTGAGGTCATGAAGCCAAATTAGCAGTGTCCCAATGAGCCAACAGCTAACAAACAAAACCCACTAACTGTCTCTGTTAGACCTCAGTCGTTCAATAGTTGATCCACAGTGTTGCTCAGTCCAATTCAATGATGTTTGATGTTGTTTTGTTTTATGGTGAAACAGTGATGTTGCTCTATGGTTATTGTTCATTTCGCACAATGGTCTTTATTTTGGATTACATGCAGCGGTACGATATACTTATTCAATAATATGCTGTAAAATGTCATACACATTGCATCGGTGACATCATGGGTAACAGGTTTCATCCCACCTCGCTACACGTCACACGGTGGCTGTGGTCAATGGACACAGTCCTGTTGACGATATGCAATGTCAGTATGTCGGTATATTCTCAGACAGACTGCCTCAGCATGGCCTTTTATTCTGCTGACATCCTATTCAATATCTCATTAGCTCATGTAACACCATCACAGTTGTCAACTTGTTTATCAAAAGCAGCAGTGACGGAAACATCGCTGTTGGTGTGATTACAATGGGGAGATAAACAGACTAATTTATTTTTTGACAGCAGATGGTTACGAGCCGATAATACGTTGATCGTCTTTCCAGTAGTGATGAGTGTCTCTGATATTTGTTTGCGTTTCAGAAAATCACAGATACACTGACTGCTTAGGAAACTGCCTCATACAGTAGATGAACTCGTAGTATTTATTTAAGGATAATTATCTTCTCAATCTCCTGTAATCTACCAGAGAGCTGCTCTTTTTCTTTGTTTTTTCCCTTTTCATTTGATTGTCAGTTCATGAAACGGTCATGCAAGTATTTGAAAAAGAGATTAGTCTCTATTTATCCAAACAAATAATGATATAATATTTGTTGTTGCTGGAGGGAGGCATTAATACAATCTCACTACCACACAGGTCAGTTCCAGGAAATAACTGCTCACATGTTACATCATGTTTTCTTATTTATGCTTCTTTATTCAAAGTAGTTAACCATCATTGGTCCCTTTCAAGTTACTTCTGAGTGAGAATTCATATCTTCAGCTGTAATAGAAGACACCACTTTGGCTAACAAGTTCTGCAACCAACTTACTGTATATCTGTTTATTTACTGCCCAGTTTAAAACATTGACAGAAATAGTTCCCCGATTTGGAGAGTTAGACGAGACAATCGATACAGCTCTCATGTGTTACGTATCAACCAAGAAACAGGAGGCGAATAGCCTAGCTTAGCATAAAGACAGGAAACAGGAAAACAGCTAGTATAGCACCTCTAAAGCTCACAAATCAACACCTTGTGTCTAGTTTTAGTCCATACAGTAAACAAAACTCCCAACAACGAATCAATTTTACAGTAAACAGCAGAACTTTGAAGCAGCATCATATTCAACCAGTGATATTCCCTTTGAGAGCATGCTAACCTCTGCCAAGGTTGCCCTGATGGTTTCACTGTCCCATGTGCAGTTATTTTTAATAGATATTATTGTTTCCCTCCTGGGACACAACAGTGTTAAATGGTGCAGGGATTCAAAATGGCCCAGATGAAAACAACCCATAAAACAGGAAGTAAAAAAAACAAAAAACACTGTTGACTCTGAGCACTTCGGTGTGTTCATTCATTATGATCCCTGCAGTGGAAAACTTTTCCTGAAATGTGCAAAATGTAGCCGTTTTAAAAGGAAGCTCTTCTCCACCATCGCTGGTTGTTGGGGCCCGACTTCCACTAAGACAAAGACAGCCTCAATCACAAACCTCGAGTTGTAAAGGCGACCAGAAGACAGTATTCTTGGTGATGCTCTGCTTTACTTATTGCAAGTATACAACAGCATCACAGTTCATGTGGCATTTATTGATGTTAAAATGCTACATGGCAAGTGTTGGGCATCCCAATATGGTTCAATTAGCGTGTTGTAAGCCAGGCATTGGTGGTTTAGAGACGGGCAGCGACACGGTGCCTCTGACAGCCTGACGGACCCGTCTGTGGTTCTGATGTGCATCACGGGCTCAACTGTAAAGATTTCTACAAAATTACACCTAAGAACGCATCTGTCCAACATGGATTGCATTGTATTTTTAAATGTGTTGCACAACTTCAGCTATTTTTCTGTTTCTATCAGTGCTATCTTTTGGCCTTTTATATGGTTCTTTTTCTTTTTTATAAAGAAGTTGTTCTATGTGATGATCAGAAGTTGTGATGCAGTTCCATTGTTTTTAAATATTTAATGTCTCTAAAATATGGATTAAAATCTGTTGAACCAGTGGTCGTGCTGCTCTCATGGTCTTATTTCTGTCTTTTTAAAATGCAATATTTCACAGGGCTGCATGGCTTTTATAAAAAGTTGCACTCATGAGGCTTTTCAAACTTGTCTTGTTTTTTTACAAGAAAACCTCTAACCTTGCTTTCATATCGCATTGTGAAGTTCCATATTCAGGTAAAGTAACCAGACAAAGCAGAAAGAATTAGCCAAAGTTCATTCAAACATAATACGCACGCTTACAATAAGATTGTGTTTTCCTGATGAATAAAATCTGAGTTCTTTTATAAATAAGACTCTTGCCTTCGAGTGGCCTTGATGTATTACATTATAAGAGCCAAGCTACTCTTCTTATTACCACTAATGGACTCTTATTTCTACATCATAGCAACTATTAGCCCACTTCGCCATGCATGATTAATTCATTGAATAAAGCCGCACATTAGAATTCAAGAGGGAAGGAGGCCGTGTGTCTTGAGAAAGTGAGAGTGAAGGTGGGAGAGAGCTGTGTGGACCTCAGAGTGCGAGAGAGAAATGAAGAAAGACACGCAGTCTCGTGTTGAAGTCCAAATCTAAAGTGCATTTTCTGGGTGACATAAATCCCGTCTAATTAAGTATTTCCCTCAACGAGTAAGGACGTGGAAAGCCCATTTGCAGACCCTTAATGCTAGCGGAGCGCGTGTGTCCTTGGTGCAGCGCCAACACTTATGAATTAGATTTAGAGGTCTAATTAATCGAGCTAACCATGCAGTCCATGGGCAGAACTTGGATTTGGAAAATAATTCATATACAGCACACTGATGAAATTGATTGATATGTTGACTCACACCATAGGAGAGAAGGGTGGGGGGGGGTTCAGATATAGTGCCCTGAAATCTGACCTAAGTAATATGAATATGATATGTATTTGGTATAGAGCCTTGTAGACTTAAATACAAAGTTGTCATAATGTCGTAATTTCAAGCAGACGCCTTTTTTTAAGAATAAGTTAACTTAAGGTAATATATGACGGTATGCTAGCACAGTTCATCACGTTCATCAAAACAATAACAAATATGTAAATTGAGGAGTAAAATGCTTTTTTATGTGCTTAACTCTATTGAACTCATCTGGAGCTCAGTATGTCAAAATGCATCTCCTCTTACAATGTTTAAACATTTTTAATTATTCTCCATTCCATACTGGAGCCGAACCCAGCTGACATCAGGTTCACCCTGGACAGGTCGCCAACTACACAAGTGTAAACGGAATAAGAACTTTACATACCCATGCAGTGTTTCCCCAACCATTATATTAGGGGGGCGCCCCCCAAGCGCGCGTGCGCACACGTGAGCACACTCCCACCAGCGAACAGAGAGCGAGCGTCAGAACATATGACGCGTCAACCAGCTGAAAAGCAGACAACAATATCTGCGTTTTTTAAAACGCTCCCATGTGGTGAAGATGGCAACACTCGCTCTCCTGTTAAGTACAGAAAAGAGCTCAAATAATTGTCATCGAAAGAAACACATGAACACCATGATTCCTTTAAGGGCTTGTGTCTCAAATAATAACATGTAAATCATATACATTGTAAGCTGACTGATCACTTTAGAAATTAAAGAATAAATTAAATAATTTTAATTTTTTTAAATAAATATTGCCAATATCTTTTACCAGCAGTAAGAGGCTGATTCTGGATATTTCTCTCTTTATTTAACAAAGGACACTCACACAACCTGGCTACATAAACTACCGATAATCTATCAAATGCAAGCAAATGGAGTGACTGAGAAAATGGGAAATTGAAATTCAAAATGGTAAAACCAATATTACTTTAATTCTAAACATGTGGGGGACCTCATGAATGTTTTAATCTAATTCTCCCAGCCTGGTATTTCTATAATTGTCAATGATATTTTACTGAAAATGCATTTCCCCCACCACAGGTCTCCCTCACCAGCGACTTGATTACAGCCATTCAACTTCATTAAAAGAAACCCAATCAGAAAAATAATTCCCTCGGTCTCACTGTGCAGAGTGGCAATTTTAATAGAGTGCCCTTCATTCTTTGCCACATGTTTAAAAGTCCATCATCCATTAGCTAAACCCGCTTATCCTTGAGAGGGGCGCGGGGGGGGGGGGGGGGGGGGGGGGG